ATAGAACACATATGTATTCTATAGCCCCGCAGTAACAGTCAACACAACTTCAACTGTAAGGTTATGTGAATAAATAATTTAAGGAACCAGCAAAAAAAATAGTTGCTAGGCAGCGGTGACAATAAAACAATTGCATTGCAATGCTATGGATACTGATTGTGTATTTAATAGGCATTCATGTTTTAAGAAAAGAAGCGGGTAGCTGATTTTGCGGCCCTAGGGATGTAAAAACCAAATGACGATGACAGCTGGCATGGCCAGCAAAAAGCAACTTTTAGCCACCAATCGACGGATGTGTGCAAAAAACTATTGTACCTATGTGTTCTAAAAGCACAGAAAAAGATAAAATTGTGCTTAAAAAATTAGCATTTGAATGAAAAATAAAAGAAGTATCAAACACACAAAACACGCGTCAGATTGCCACGCTTTAAATGGGACAAGAAACCAGTTCAGAGTCTTTGGGATTTTCCGTGTTTAGTATACCATACAAATTTCAAAACTTCATATTGAAGTCATATCTTACAAATTAAGAATAAAAACAAAGACAATGTCACTGTCCTTGTACAACCTCTAAAATAGACAAAACAACTCAATGGCATTTTAATGATTATTCAGTATTTTCCTGTACCAAAAATTGATGGAGCCATTGGTGACATTACAACACTTCTTCTTTAGGAATTCAGGAGGCATTGCAAAAAATCCTGTACATGTAGAAGAAGATAATGTTTATAATTAATCGAAATATTCTTACTTTCATAATACTAGGGAGCTGTTAGAGAACGATTGTCAAGTGCATACAACGCGTGTGCAGCCAAGCTAACACAATCAGACAATACGGTAAGACAAACTTGGCTCGCCGCTGATCAGATTAAACCAAGGAAAATATCATCAAATTAAGTTGTACGTTATTTTGTGTCTAAAAGCAATGAAATATTTGTACAATGTGTATTTATTCAACGGTGATAGTGTAAATTTAAATGCAATGGACTATATGGGACTGGTAAAAAGAATCGCATTAAATATTATGTTGTTCGTTATTTTTTGTTTGCTTAGTAGAATAGAATTTGTAGAATAGAATTAGAGATATAATTACAAATATGTTTGTTAGTAGGTAAATATTTTAGTACTCGATGTTTTTTGTATTTATTTTATAGTTATTTTTCATATTTGTTTTGTTTGTTGTGTTATATGTCATTAATTATTCAATGCTCAGTTTCATGTGTAAATTAAATAGTATGTATTGGTGTTTTTCTTGGTTTAAAAATAAATTATAATTGTCAGTGAGCAAAAGTGGCTCTTTTTGGTACGGAATCGCTCTTTACATGCGAGGCACAGCCGAGTTCGGACCAAAAAGTACCAAAAAGACACTTTCGCTCCTAATGATGAGATGAACAACTATTTTTATTATATTGTGGAAATAGCCTTCTAATCGTTACAAAATTAGATCACACAATTTGAGGTTATACAAAGTCGTTTAACAATGTTTAAATTTCTGTATGAAATAGTAAACAATATTATTTATAGTGTCCATAAACAACATTTGAGGTTACCGAACCAAATAATTGACCATATTTTTTTCTGTTCCCTATTGAAGTTACTCTATAAACGATGATTTTGTAGACGAAGGGAGCTATAAACGGCTGCTTTCTGTAGAGTATGATAAAAACACTATTGATAAAGCACTACGATATTGCTGAAGTTTATAACAGCTAATGTTTGTATTTTTCACAATAATTTAGTGTAAGTAAACATTTTAAAGCAAATTAAAGAAATGGTGGTTTACACCACTAACCTGAATTAAAAGGTGAAACGCATTTTTTTTCAATTTCACGTCCTCTTCCCGTAGCAAAACACTGTTACTGCAGCTAGTACGTAGATGAGATTAACCGAAGGAACAATATTATAATTCGGGCAATATACCAAAGTGGAGTATTGAGCTCAATAAACTTAGCAGTCCATACGGGTTTGGGTTAGAGATTTCTTTTTCTCTAAGTTTATTTTACAATAATTTGCCAAAAGCAATTTTAAACTTTAAATTTATAACATTGATGGCCACAGCGGAAAAGAACGTGGAAGAGAATACTTAAATACTTTACTTTAATACTTTTCATTGAAATGGCGACCGTACATAGTAGGGATTTTAAGCCAAGTATGAATGGTTTAGAACCTGCATTCACGTTCAACACTTGGTCTAGAAACACGTCTTTATTATGTAGCGTAGTTGCATAACATTCCCTACTTTCAATTCAGGCAACGGGTTTAAATATAACTAGCTAGCGTATTTTTAATAAACATTACTGCAAATAAATAAACATTAGGTGTCTAAACTGCAGATCCTGTCGATAGACACCATTGCGTTAATGAAAAGGCTTTAAATAGCTTTTAGCGTATTTCCCTATAGGGACTAATTTATTACCGTAGACGGCACGAAAAGACCCAGGACCGATTTAATATTTATTTTTTTATATGTAGGTACTCAGTTTCCAAAAACACTAAAAGTTTATATTTTTTGGAAATATACAGGGACTTATCTAAAATGAACCAATAGCTTACTTTTTTATTATGATATATAGAGTTAACTTTTTACGGGGCACTCCCTTTTTTTTAAGATGTGTTTTGGGATTTTTTTTAAATTTTAAAAATACACCCACCATTTTCCAATATGGTCGACAATTTTGTTATTTCTTATGGGACACCCTGTATTTTATAATTGTATTAGAATGTATAAATGCGATTTTAACATTTTTATTTTTGATATTTTTTTCTCTAAAGCAACTCGTGTAGCAGTTACACCGTGTTGCACCTAAGGAAAAAAGGCTCGTGGTGTATGTTCTGCAATATAGATCTCCTGAACGATTAATTTTAGAGAGAAAATTCAAAGAGTAATGAAGTTTTAAAACTGAATCTAAGTTCTAACCAAATCGTAAAGTACGTTAAAAATATTGATCCTGTTGTTTTAAAAATGGCCATTTTTCAAAAAGGGCAGCTAACTTTAATATTGGAACACTTAGTATTTTATGGTATTTTTAGGATATAGATGCGATTTTAAGACTTATTTAATATATATTCCTTGCAATTTCCCTCTAAACTAGAAGATAAAGAAAGTACACCAAAAGCAATTTAAGTTTAACACACTGCAACTCTTAAACAAGTGGCTTTACAGAAACAAAGCCATGAATAAAAATGTTTTAAAATCGCTTTTACGTTCTAAAACAATGATAAAATACGGAATGTTCCATGAAAAATAACTAAGTTGTCGGCCATATTGGAAAATGAGGGATATATTTTTAAAATTCAAAACTATCCCAAAACGCACCCTAAAAGTAAATGATGGGGAGTATCCCATAAGAAGTTAACTCTATATCTCATAATAATAAAGTTAGCTATTGGTTCACTTAGGTGAGACACCCTGTATATAGGATGTTCCATAAGTAAACAGTAAAACTACTGTAAAGAAAGAGCAAATAATGAATCAATTTTTTCAAAGCCAATTCGTAAATAAGATATCTGCTATTTAGTTTATTTTACATAACAATATTTGTCCTTGAATTGATCAAACCGAATATAGATTATTTCAAGTAATGCACTTTTCAGCATTATAGTTCTCGCACTCGGATTTCATGCGAGAATCGTAGACCCCCCCCCCCCCCCGATACGCTTCCAGGTAATAGGCATTTCATGTCATGTTTTTAGTGTGAAATGTGTTAAAAGACTCATTGGGTATCGATACACACTGAGAATAGCGCCATCAAATACACATTACAAATACAAAAATAAGACCTCCCCGGACGGATTGAGTCCGATACTTTACGCCAGACAAAGAAACAAAGTAAACACAACCCATTATTAGAATTACAAACATGTTAAATATTGCAACACGCCATAGTTCTCCAGTGCATCTTTCAAATAGTTTTAAAATAATTTTTTCATCACTTAATTAAAAAAAGTTATCTAAAGTACAACGACTCTCTTCCAAACTCAGGGGTATTTCTTATTTTGGAAGATATTTCGCATTTAAAAAGCTTTTTAAGAAAATTGTTATGTATATAATTAATACGCTACATGAAACTTTGTCGGTTTAACTCCTCCGCCATTTCTTAACCGATTTTATCCATTGGCGTCTCATTGGAAAGAACGTGTCGCGTAGATTTGCAAACTGGCCTTACATTTTCGAAAAAAGTCCCTTGGGCTCTGCCCCAGTGGCTTTGGAAGTTCCCATGTTATCTTTATGAAGAACATAATTGTTTACATTTTGATCAGCTGTATAATTTAATTGCTGTTATTTATTTTTCAATTCAATGAAACGCATTGCGTACATTTATTTACTATTTGAGTTTGTGTAAACATAACCCCCAAGACGGATCGTGTTAGTATGGCTGTATCTTAAATTTGCGTATTTATCGTTGTTTTGTGTCGCTATAACATGACGTGTTAGCATGTTTGTAACTTAAATTTGTGTATTTATCGTTGTTTTGTGTAGC